GTTCTAGAAGTATCAAAGGCTTGAAAGAGAAAAAAAAGCATATCTGTATATAGAACAATAGAAGTATGCATATGTTGTACGTTATACGTTATATAATTTAGAAACTTCAAACTAATGAAAACGTGTGTACCCAGAAAACAATGAAAAATACACAGTATTTTTCAAAACATGGAAAAGATTTACCATAAGTAAAGCAAAAACATACATGAGTGAAAACGAATGGTGAACAAATGAACTTCGACGAGCATATATATTTAGTTTAAATGGAGACTGGGAGTGAGCAATATAAGTGCTCAGTTAGGATTCTTAAAATGTAGGGGTTGGCCCTGTGGCTGAGCGGTTAAGTTCGCGTGCTCCACTTCAGTAGCCCATGGTTTCACCAGTTCGGATCCTGGGCATGGACATGGCACCTCTCATCAGGCCACGCTGAGCCAGCATCCCACATGCCACAACTAGAAGGACCCACAACTAAGAAATACACAACTATGTACGGGGGGCTTTGGGAGAAAAAGGAAAAAATAAAATCTCTAAAATATATATATATAAATGGCATACTGCAAGGGAAATTTGGGCAGTCAACACAAGCCTACTGTCAGGACCCCTCTAATCCCTTTCCCCTCCCCTGGTGCACACGGCCCGCCTGATCGCCCGCCTTTTGTGCTTTTTCATCCCAAGCACCTGCGGCTCTTCATCAGGAGGAAGGCTGTCCTTGGGTGACTGGAGCCATGTGGCCCGCACATGCAGAGAGCTGGAAGTGCTACCAGGTGGCCACATGTGCGAGCTCCAAATTCCCTAAGTTTGCCTCCTGTGGGATTGTTCTTGTTTCACCTTCACTCCTGAAAGATACGGAAGTATTTGCTAGATATAGGTATCTGGTTGACAGTTTTGTTTTTGTTTCTTTCAGTTCTTTAAAAATGACGAGCTCTTTCCTTCTGGTCACTGTGGTTTCTGATGAGAAATGTGCAAGGAATTTGAATCCTTGTCTCCCTTTAGGTAACGCACCATTTTTCTCTGGCTGCTTTCAGGATTATTTCTTTGTCTTTAGTTTTCAGCTGATGTGATTGAGTTTCTTTGAGCTTATCCTGTTTTGAGTTCACTGCAATTCTTGAATCTTTATGCTCATGTCTTTTGCTAAACTTGAAAAGTTTCAACCAGTATTTCTTCAAACATTTTTTCAGTCCCACATTCATTTTCCTCTCTGGGATTCCAATGACATCAATAGTATACCATTGGTTACTGTCCCACAGGTCCCTGATGCTCTATTAATTTTTTTAGGGTTTTTTTTCCTATCTGTTGTTCAGATTGGATCGTTTCTCTTGATCCATTTTCAAGTTCACAGACTCTTCCTTTTGTCATTTCTATTTTGCTATTGAATTCATCCAGTGATTTTTTAAAATTTCAATTATTGTTTTATTAGTTCTAAAATTTCCATTTGATTCATTTTTGTATATTTTTTTGCAGAGACTTCTTATTATAACATTGTTTCAATAGTGTTCATAATTGTTCATTTGAGCATTTTTCTAATAGCTGCTTTAAAATCTTTGTCATATAAGTCCAACATCTGTGTCATCTTGGAGTTGGTTTCTGTTGATTGTCTCTTTCCATGTGAGTTGAAACTTTCATGGTTCTTCTTATGCCAAATATTTCAGTTTGTATCCTGGCCATTTCTAACATTATGCTATGAAACTTTGGGTCTTATTTAAATCCTATGAAAAATGTTTATTTTGTTTGTTTGTTTTAACAGGCAATCAACCTGATTGGGTTCATTTCACCAGTTCCAATCCACCTTCTATGTGATGTGGTCCCAATATCAGTAAAGTTTTCAAAAGCTTTGAAGCATTCTCTGTATCCATCCAGAGTGAGTGCCAACCAGTGGCCAGCCTGGGACCAGGGCGGTAGACTCTCTCTTAGTTAAGTTCTCATTTTGTGTTTGTTTGCTAATGGGGATCAGATCCATGTGTGTATGTCCTGGGGGTGAACCCTGGGGTTCATAAACAATTTTATGAGATCACTTTCCTAGGCTTCTCTCTTCCTCTCTGCAGTCTCCCCCATACTGTCTGATTCCCCAGGGATCCCCTTTATGATCCTGCCAGAAATTGAGGTTCTAGTTACCCCCTCTTCCACACACTTATAAACCATATAAAGCCCATGTCCAGGCCTAAGAACAGGGAGGACAGAGAGAAAAAAAGAACAACGGAGGTTGGCCCCACCCTTGTGAGATCACAGCTCCACCAAATGAAAAGGGATTTCTCCTCACTGTTTTGGCTCCGCTGGCCTCCTTTCCAGCTGTTGACTGCCACCATGGAATTGCTTAAGGTATGGATTGTAAGAAAACAAAGAGGCAAGAAAAAATGGGGGGTTTCCACACTCTCTGAACAAGGGATTTACCCTTGTTGCTCCTTAAGCCACAACCAGCTGGCTTCTCCTAAAGGTCTCTATCTGCCCCTAGTGCTCCTTTTCAGGTTTCCAGCTGTGTTAAGTTCAGGTGAAGAGATACCAAAGGGAAAATGGCAAACTCATCACCATCTCAGTTCCACTCTAAATTCTGGTGCTCTTCCCCAACTGCCTGCTGCTGTTTGAAAGTTCTCAAAAAGACTCGCTCTATGCAGTCTGTCCAGGTTTCATGCCTTTATTTAGTGGGAGGAAGAGACGTTGACTCCATCTTACTCAGGATGAGAATTTCTGAATTGTAGTTTAAGTAGTAATTCTAATGCCTTGTTTTTATTTCCTTCTTCAGATAGACGAATCATATGCATGTTGGATATGGAGAGATCTTCTATCTACCACTTTTTCTCTGATCTTTTCGGTTTCATATTTTTGCTCTTATATTTTCATATTTTCATTTTTATCTTCTCTCTCCTTTAACTGTACTTTCAGTTATATGTATTCTTCCTAGAGTATCTCATAGGTGATTTTGTCTTTTTCCTCAGTTTCTTCCCATGCCCAGTATGTTTATAATACTCTTTTTAAAAAGTATTGGTCAGTCGTTTCTAATACCTCTGATCTCAATGGAATCTTTTTAAATGTATGTGACCCTTATGTATTTTGTCATTTGGGCCTGTGAGTTCATATTCCCTGATGAGTATTGGAGATTCTCAATGGAGATAATTACAAGGTAAATGCTCCAAACCAAAATGAGGCCAAGGACTGGATGGTGCACAATGAGCCCTATTTATAAAGTGCAAGCACCAGAAAATCAACTCATCAGGACAAAATTTTACCTTCAGCTCACCTCCCCTGCCCCAGGCAGATAATATTACCTACTTATTATTTTGAAATCCACCACCCTCTGGGGAGCTGAAGAAGGGGAGGCAGGGATGTGAAAACCCAAAGTGAGTTAATCTCCACCTTTTTTCTGAGCTCCTCCTGGGAGCAGGGTTCTCTGTGTTTGCTGACTTTACTCTTGAGGGAATTTAAGCCTCCTTAGCAGCTCCATAGCTGCGAGACTCAGGGTTGAAATTGAAATTTGGCAATTTTTTTCATCCTTAAAATAAAGGGAAATCCCAATTATAGAATAAACAAAAAACCCTGGCAAGACTAGACAAACAGAGAGAAGATATAAAGAATATTATGAATTAAAATGTTATATATCTTCAAACCTACAATAAAGCAGAGAATAAAAAGATAAAAATAAAATGCTATCAATAACTATATTCTAATAACGTTGAAAGCTTAGAAAAAATGGGAAATATACATAGAAAAGTATAATTTACTAAAATAAGTTTAAGAAACAAAAAGTATGAATACTCTTATAAGTAATAAAGAAACTAAAGTACAGTTTAAAATCATTCCTACAAATTAACAACAGCACAGATGGTTTTATACGCAAGTAGTAAAAATTTTAAAGGACTGTATCTTTTCAAATTTATTCAAGGAAGGTGGGCATAAAATTCATACAATCACTTTTTAAAATAGATAAGCACTTTTTTGTAAATGTAAGTCCTTAAATATTAAATACACCAAGTTTCAGCAATTCTTCTTCTAGAAGACGTGTACAAGAATGTTAGCGCATAGCAAAAACCTGAAAACCGCAAAAATTGCCACTTTATAGGAGATAGAGGGTCAAAACTAGGATGCGTGCATACCATATGACTCAGCTGTCAAAATGAACTACAGTGAAACGCAGCAATTTGGACAAATCTTAGAACTATAGCATTAAGTATAAAAAGATTATGCACAGCATATATTTTAAAAAATAAAAACATACTGAAATCAATCATGTGAATGTGTTAAAACAATAAACAGGAAGGAAAAGAACAATAATTATTTTAATTATTAAGTAAAATACAAGCTAGAAGGATAGATAGATTTAGATGAACAGGTACATGAGTACATAAACAGGGCCATATGCCTCAAACACGAGAGGGTGCCTGGGACCAAAGATTATGATTAATTCAACTGTGTGCCTTAGAGATTTCTTAAGACACATAGAAGAAAAAGACAGTCGGGCTCATATACTGCTGATGCTTTAACAACAGTTAAACATAAAGGATAGCAGGCACTCTTCTCTCTGGCTATAAAATCTGTAATGCAAAGAAACGTGAGATCCTTTGGGTTCTATTCTTGCAACATCCCCACGTGACTTTTACCAACTGTCTATGGATCACAGAGCAGAGAAAGAAGGGACCTGGGCATGGACCCATGAGCAGGAGGAGCACTTTGGTGAGAAGCACTCAGGGAGCAGAGTAAAAGGTGGCATCAGAAGAAGGTCACCTCTCCACAGGGCCTGGGAGGGGACACTTTGTGAGCCCAGCTCCATTAGCTCAGGGTCATGCAGGTTGGAGCAGGGGGTAGAACCTAGTGTCCCCTGTGAAAGCCCAGTATGGGCTGGGATTTTGGAGGCTCCTCTTAATGGAGGAATAAATGGGGAAGCTGAAGTTTGGGTAAAAATTCTGCTGAGTTTGGGAGTGAGGAGTGGGTAGGTCACTGGTAATTGACCCTAAAGGATGAAGGAATGATAAAGACCACGGAGCAATGTAAGCAGAAAATGGGAGGTTTATTGTCACTTCAGGAAAAAGTCAGAGGCAAAATTCAAAAAGTCTAGTAAACAATTGGGATAATGGATCAAACAGAAATATCTACCATTAAAATATACTAAGTCTCCCCAGACCTTTTCAGCCTCCAAGTTATAGGAAGAGAGGGCTGAGGAGAAAGCATCAGGTTGTGGAGGGTCCATGATTATTTGGTTCTTCCTTTGTTGCTCCTCAGTGGTCCTCAGGGCCCAGGTCAGCAGCAGCCCCCAGAGCCTCCGCAGCAGCCGGAGCCCCCCGAGGGCTCACCCTCACAGCAGTCTCGGCTCTGGTGCCGCCGCTGGTGGAAGAGACGGGGCCTGTGGTGGCTCAGGCAGCAGCCCCCTCCCCCAGAGCTGCAGCAGCCCCCAGAGCTGGGGTCACAGCAGGAGGAGACTGGAGGGGGACACGGGGCTGGGCACTGGGGTGGGCACTTGGGGGGACATTTAGGGGTGGGACACTTTGGGAGGCACTTGGGAGGAGGCTGGCACTGCTGCTGGTTCTGCTGGCAGGACATCTCAATGGGAATTAAAGCAACCTTAAAGTAAAATTAAAACCAAATAAAATACATCACACGTAGAATAAGAATGTCTTCTACTCTCAAAGAATTTTCACTGTGCTAGTAACATGTTTGTTAGGCATACTCTCATTCCAGAACAAAAGTCCTATAAATGTGTGCAGCTGACATTAAAGTTCTGTGCATAGAATGTATGCTACATATAAAGATCAGTTTGTCACCATTTTATCCACGTGCCTCTACCCATGAAATGAATTCACAATTAGACAGAGGTCCATTGTCTTTAGACACATCAAGTGTATGTGTGAAATCTGCCCAGGGGACAATCAGCAGAGACTTGGAGGAGCTGCTCCCTCTCCCTCTGGCCACAAGGACTGTGATCCCCAAGGCTAATCCCTGTTCACACTAGAACTCCCTCTATGTTTCCACCCTTGACCTTTCCTCTTCACTCTGTTCTGTTCTTTCATCCACCATGTCTGGGATATTCTCCAGGTCCTTCTTCTCTATAAACCCAGAACCCTCCCTTGGGCTTGCACAGACTCACCAGGACCAGACTCAGAGTCAGCTCAGGCTCCTGAGGCGTCAGAGAGGATGAGGAAGAAGGACCAAGGAAACCTTTTATAGGGAGTCCCCATCATGGGCTTAGAGATGAGCCTTTTCTCTGGGAGGAGCAGCAGAAGCTTTTACATAACTAAGGAATGTGTGGGGCCATTCCTGACATTGCCCTCCTGGAAGTCTCCTTCCCAGAAAGCTATAGGAACACCCAGGTTTCTCACTAGCACCCAAGAACTGCATGGGCCTTCAACCAGTCACACCCTTTCCCTAAGATAAGCCTCAGATGACCTGAGAGTCCCAAGAAGCTGGTCACTGGGCTGAGACTCCAGGGTCTTGGGTCACTGTGTGCCAGGCCCTTCTCATGAGGTGTATGGTCACACTTTTCACTCCAGGCTTTGTGAGGTGGGGCATATGATGGGAGGAGTAGGAATGAGAGGATAGAAAGGATTAAGAGAACTTTTTGGAAGAATCTGTAAGAATTGATATCTCTTTGTACGTGTACAATGGAGAAAATGGATAAATCAAGAATTATACCAAGATATCAAATCTCATGACCAGGAAAATGATCTTGTGATGGAGAAAGAACAAATATTGGGAGGGGTATAGATTTGAGGTCCTAGTAATACACTCAGGTAGAGAGATCCAAGAGACATTTAGAGTTACCAGCCTGGAGGTTATTATTTCCCAGGCTAAAGGGACTTGGAGGCAAAATTCACCCTGGCATTCACCATCATTTATATGTACATCCAATATGTTTATTTATTTGAGCAACCAAGTATGCCAGGCGTTTTTCTGGACCCCAGAAGAAGAAGGTTTCTTTATTCAGTGGGTCTCACATTCTGATGGGATCCACACTGTGGAGATAAACACAAATACCTAGAATATTTTAAAATACTGACGGCAAGACCCATGGGGCAGGGACCACTCTTGAAATAGCAGACTGTTTCAAACTCATTTCAGGTCATGGTACAGGATGAGGCACACTGAAAGAAAATTTGACAGAAGTTATAGTGAAGTGCTTCTCTATCCCCCAGCCGGGGGAATTGGCTTTTCTGTGTTTTTCTATTCGACCCCCAAATAAACACACACACACCCCTATCTTTACTCTCACTCCATCATCGTTACAAACATCTCTTCTCAGAGAATGAGGAAACTCAGGATGACAACAGCAAAGACAGAGTAGACTAACCACAAATCTCATTGTGAAATAGTGATTCAAGAGATGAGATTCAACTCATCTTCTTTGGCTCTCGTGGACCTTTCTCATGCAAAGAAGAATTCCAAAAAGTCCAGTGGACTATGAACTTCTCAGGGCAGAGGTTGTGTCTGATTCACCTCTGAATCCCAAATTCCTAACAGATTTACACAGACCCAAATTCCATTTAACCAAATACTTTGTTCGTGTGTTGATTCATTTCACCCTCGACCTGAAAGCTCTTGGAGAGTAGGCTCTATGTCTGAAAATAGATAATAAAAATTAGAGATGGGGCACCTCTGGGCTAAAATGGACTTACAGGTTATTCCATCTCCTCCTTATTTTGGGACCCCAATGAGGATGAGGCCATCTCTGTTTTGTTCGCAGCTGTCCCTGTCCATAGCACTAGCACAATGAGTGGCACATCTTATGCTTTCAACAAGTGAATAAATTAATCTATTAATTAATTAATTAATCTATCTAGTCCAAACTCTTCCCTGATCACTCACTGACAAGCTGAACTCAATCTCTTAGTCAACGTCACCCCCTACCCATACCCATCCCCAGTGATAATTGAGCTCTCAGTTCAAAAGACGCCCAGCGTGATGAACTTCTCCCAGGGCTCCTATTGTAGTTTAGGGATACGCTCCTTGAGAGTTGCGATCATAAGCGCCTATCTCTAGACTGCACATAAGGTCTAGATGCCAGTAATTTATTTTAACAAACATTATTAAGCATCTTCTATGTGCCAAATATACGACACATCTTTTAATTTCTTAATGTTCAAATCAATGAATAAAATCATCATTTGAAAAAAGAACAGTGATATTTAGGAAACATGAGTGATATTTCAAAGGTCATGTAAAGAGCTAAAACGTACCCCAGCTTCCTGGCTAGAGTTATAGAGGTCCGACCTCCATAGCCTGCCTACTTCTCACCAAGTTAAGTGTTCATTGTCTTGACACTCATCACTGTCCTTACAACTAAAGGAAATCAAGTCGACACGACCATTTCTCAGGGTGCATCAGAGGGAGAAGCAGAGACTCAGGGTCCCCACTGAAGAGCAGACCCAGGAAGGCTGTGTGGATGGAGAGAATTATCCCAGTTAAAGGCTCCTGGGCAACCAGCCTGGGAATGGCAAGTACTGAAAGCAGACCTAAAAGACAACCTGGAGTGTGGGACGGAATCAGAATGGAATATTTCCCCAATGACAAAAAAATCAAAAATGAAACAACCTACAGCTTCTAACTGAGGTTTCCCAGAGGACATATAGAGTCTTTGTCCAGGCACTGGTCCCTTGGGAGTCCCAAGTCAACTCTCCAAGGCTCCAGCCTACGGGACACTGTGACTGGTAAAACCTCTCTAGACTCCAGCCCCAGATGAGGGTCCCAGGAAATCCCAAGGCCTCCTGGGAGGCAGGAACAAGGAGGCAGGGGAATGTCACGAATGACCTAGCACATGCCTGGTTGTGCAAGAGCCACCTCCTGCCCCTCCCAGAGCCAAGCCTGAGGCCTATAAAACACGACCTGGATCCAGCATCTCATCTGCTCTGACACCCCAGGGAAGAGTCTGTGATCCTGCCTGTGACCGGGTGAGTGGGATATGGAATTCAGAGGGGACTCTGAGCAGGACAAGGAAGGAGGTGACAGCTGAGAGGTGAAGAGCAGAACAGAAGGATGGGGAGGAAGGAGGGAGGCTGAGGAAAGAGGGTGACATCTTTTTTGTTTTTTGAGGAAGATCAGCCCTGAGCTAACTGCTGCCAATCCTCCTCTTTTCTCTGAGGAAAACTGGCCCTGAGCTAACATCCACGCCCATCTTCGTCTACTTTTTTATATGTAGGACGCCTACCACAGCATGGCGTGCCAAGGGGTGCCATGTCTGCACCCGGGATCTGAACCGGTGAACGCCGGGCCACTGAAGCAGAACGTGTGCACTTAATCGCTGTGCCACTGGGCTGACCCCGGGGGTGACATCTTTGATTTCTGCCACACTGAGCAGGAATAAAATTCAGAAGAAGAGGAAAAGACCATATTGTGGGTTAAGAGGTCACTGGCACTTGGCCATTCCGGAAACTGACCTGGCCTAGCAGGCAAGTGTGTCAACCTCATCTAGATTAGGGGCTTATCTCTATGTTAAGACCATGGCACTTCAGAGACTTTTGAGCACTGCATGCAGGACCCTGAAGACTGAGAAATCCCTGCTTCCAAGAGGCATAAAATGTTTACATCTGGATTTAAGTCTATATACTTTTAACCAGAGGAACCATTATATTGTTTCCTTCTGGATACTTACTCGTCTGTTCTAGATATTATCTACCATGGATTGATGCTGAGGAAGGTAAAGCTCATCACCCTTGATTGAACCTGTCAAAACTATGTCATTATTCTCTTCCAAACTGACTGAACTCCTGCCGAGATGTCCTGCCAGCAGAACCAGCAGCAGTGCCAGCCTCCTCCCAAGTGCCCACCGAAGTGCCCCACCCCTAAATGTCCCCCTAAGTGCCCACCCCAGTGCCCAGCCCCGTGTCCCCCTCCAGTCTCCTCCTGCTGTGACCCCAGCTCTGGGGGCTGCTGCAGCTCTGGGGGAGGGGGCTGCTGCCTGAGCCACCACAGGCCCCGTCTCTTCCACCGGCGGCGGCACCAGAGCCCCGACTGCTGTGAGGGTGGGCCCTCGGGGGGCCCTGGCCGCTGTGGCGGCTCTGGGGGCTGCTGCTGACCTGGGCCCTGAGGACCCCGGAAGAACAAGTGGAACAAAGCACCAAATTTTTTGCTTCCCCTCCTCCCACTCCCTCACTTCAACATCCTGACATCCTGGAGCTGACAGGTCTTAAGCTAACTTAGGCATTTCTGCACGTGGAAATTTCTGCTTCCCCTTCATTACCTTTGCAAAAATAAAGTTTCTGTTTCCTACTCAGAAGGGGTCCTGGTCACTCCCTCAGGCCTCCCTCAGTCAGCTCCTCTCTGAGGGGCCTGGGACAAGGGCAGGGCATGGCTAAGGGGTGGGTAACTGGGCATTTCCCAGGGCTTCATTTTATAAGATATGGGAAAACATCACCAGAAGTGTAATGAAACTGAGGAACATGTGCTAACCAGAATCTGTCTGGAGGAGAGAACGTATGTTGATGACAGAAATGGGGAAGCAGGTGGAAGTGAGAATGTGCTATTTGATCACAACACCATGGTCTTAAACTGCCTTCTAAGAAGAGTAAATTCCCAGCTAACTACAGAACTTTATTTTTCTCAATTGTAATACATCTTTTTGCTTAAGCCTTCCCTAACATAGAACTCATTCTCTCGTCTAAATCCGTGTTGAACAAATAATTACATGATAACAGATTCAAGTGGGCCAAATTACACGTGAGTCCAGATGCCTGCATGAATCCAGCCTGGCGTGTCACCTGGTTGTTAAGAGCACAGACTCTGGACCAAAGCTCTTGGGTTTAAATCCCAGCCCTTCTGCTTACTAGCTTCTCTGAGCCTCAGTTTCACCATCTCTAAAATGGGGATAACAACAGTATCTTCCTTAAAGGGTTATTGTGAGTTAAAAAGGTTAGTATATGTAACGTGTGAAGAACAGTGCTGTCTCCAAAGGAAGCCTGTACAAATGTTAGCTATTTTGGCTGTTGCTGCCGCTGTTTTGTTGCTAAAAGTGAGTCTGGGTTGCCAAAGGGACTGGACCAGGAGTGTGGGTCAATGTCCATTTGGACTCTTTTGGCAAACAGGCCTCCCAGAGGAGGCAATAGCTGATGGCCACTACGCTCGTCTTCTCTGCTTGCTGGGGCCAAGAGCTGGTGAGAGGTGGGGATAAATTGTTGGAACAATTGCAAGCCCCAGGATCCAACCAGAGCCTCTCCTTTCATTTCTTTCTCCCCCAGCTTAATCCTCCAGGGCCCACAGGGCTCATGACTCAGCAGAATGTGGGAAAAGATGGCTCAGGTACCAACAGGGAAACGAAGACAACTCTCCTTAGTGCCAGGCTGAGAAGAATCTGTGTGGGGAAAATTCTAGACTCAAATTGAACAGACATCCCGATAACAGAGCGGCTCTGCATACGACACGGCCGTCTGCTCCCCTCTGTCCCCGCGGCCACCAACCACAGCCTAGGTTTATCTCCTGACCTAGAACAACAGCTGGCTGGGGGGCGCCCTGCCAGCAGGCTTACCCCAACAAATATGTCCTGCATAGTACACAAGTAACCATTTAGGTTCCTTTTTCAATCAACTTTAAAATTGTAAAAATAATTTGTGCTCAAAATAAAACAGCTGTAAATTATAGGAAAACAGAGAATAGGTCAATCGTCCTCACATATCCTATGACCCAGACAGTGCCATTGCCATCCCCATTCATTGGCCCCAGAGAGCATCTTGCATTCGGCTGCCTCTCAGCACATGCTCATCCTCTCCCCACGTTTGGAATAGCCCCTTCCTCCTTCCTCTCCACCCATCAGAGTTATTCTGAGAGCGCTTAACATGTTGGAACGTGAAAAAGCAGGGCATTGCGCTGCTAGAATTCATGTGTCCTATGGCACAAGGACAATTTTACTTGAAGAAAATAAGTACATGGATAAAGGTTTATACATCTCAAAAAAACATAATACACATTTTGTTTTCAGCAAATCTCTTTCAGAGTTTTCAATTAACAGTAGTTTAGGTTTCATTTGTTTTGTTGCACAACAGATCAAAGTATTGAAAAGGATTCCCCAGGGCAGACCCTAAGACAAGAATTTCTGTGCAAGAGATATTTTAAGGTAGGACTTCCAGAAGAAACTGTTAAGGGAGGGAGAGAGCAAGGCAGGGAACCGGGAGAAGCCACGCAAGGTGCAACCCCCAGCAAAGTGCCCTGGAGAGTAGCTGCTGCGTCAGCTGCAGGGGAGCTCTGGAGTGAGAGTCTGTGCTCAGATTTTGTCTCAGCTGGAGGAGGTAGAGGTGGCCTTTCATAGTCCCACACCAGTCACTTGTTGGCTAAAGGCTGTCCTAGAGGAAGGTACTTCCGACTGTTTACCTGAAATTAAAACTTACTTAGGCATCCTGTGTTTTACCTGGCAAGCCTACATCGAGGCAATGAGAACAGGCAGTGCCAAGATCTGGAAATGGAAGGATGCCAAACAGGGCGAGCCTGGTATTTGGGACACATACCCCCTCCAGTCATTTGTGGGTTCTGAAAGAGAAATTGGTGACTAAGAAGCTGAGAGGCTGAATCCACGGGAGTCCAGAGCTCACCAAGAAGCAAGGGGCACAGGAAAACAGCAGGATTCAGTTGGAGCCCCGAGGAGTAACACTTGAAGGAAGGGCAAACCAGAGATACACTGACCTTCATGAGACTGAACCCTTGCATCAGCGACCTTGCTCTGTGTACATTTTAATTCCGATGTGTAGATTCTTTACCATTTTCTGTGTACACTATCACTTTGTCTGTGAATAATGATGAAGAGGGCCTTGAAGTTTCTGCCATCTTGATCAAACTTTAGGCAGGTTTCTTCCTGACTATAGGCCCCATCTCCCTTTTCTTAGAGCATTTACTTTAGAAAACTTGCAATTGTAAATTCTCTCTCCATCTCTTTAAGATGTAAGTCTTCTCTCAGCCTCTTGCCTGTTTCACAAGCCAGGAATGTCTTTCTTAAGGCCCTGAGAGTTACCCCTTTGAAAGGAAATCATCAAGGAAGATAGAGCCCCGATCACCCAGTCTCTGTGAGAAGATAGGAGCTTAACTTCAACAAGCACCAAAGAGCAAACACAGGGGGTCTAATCACGTTGGCCATCCTCCCCACTAAAGCCCTCCAGTACTTTTCCACTAACTGCTCCAGCGCCTAAAAATCCTCCCACCTTTTGCTCCAGCAGAGTTTAGTTCAGTCTCACTCCCCTATTGCGAGTCTTAAATAAACTCTTCCTGGCCCGTTTCATTCTTTCTAGTGCAATGTTCTTTACAATAATGGCAGTTTTTATCTATTTGTTATATTTTCTGTCCTGTTGCCCTGGGTTATGGCTATGATCTCCAATACGATGTAAAACTGAGTTCCTTATCTCAGAAAGATTTCAACATTTTTAGCCACCCTTTATTCGCTTGAGCAACTTCATTTCTGTTTTTAATTAGCAGAGTTTTTTTTAATTTATAATGAATGAATGTTGAATATTACTAAACCCGTTTTCTGTATCTATTGGTACAATCACATGATTTTCTCTTTATTTTGTAAATGTGATGAGTTGCATTAATTGACTTTCAAATATAAAACCAATCTTTCACTCCAAAAATAAACTTAATTTGGTCATTATGCACTGCTTTTTTAATGTATATTGCTGCGTTAAAATGTACTAATATTCTTAGGATCTTAAAGATTTTTGCATGTATGTTTATGAAAACATTGGCCTGAAATTTTCCTTTCCTTGATATTCTTGCCAGATTTTGGTGTCATAGTTATACTGGCTTAATACAATGTGTTGAAAGTCTCCCATATGGAAAAGTATGTGTAAAAGTGATATCATTTCTTCCTTAAATATTTGCTAAACTTCACCTAAGGAGGCATCTGCATCTGGAGATTTCTTTCTGGAAAGAATCTTAATATTATAGATTCCATTTCCTTAGCATGTATGTATGTGTGCATATATATATAAGGTTATTTACATTTTTTATTTATTATTGTATTTGTTTGGGGAAGTTATATGTTTTTCTAGAAATTTGCCAGTTTCATTTAAATTTTAAAATGTATGGAAATAAAAATTTTATGGTGTCTTCCTACTATCTTTGTCAGGTTTGTAAGATCCGTATAATGATGTCCTGTTTTCGTTTTTTATATTGGAAATTTTGCTTTTCCTCTTGATTCTCTTGAGCAGCCTTGCTAAAATTCTATTGATTTTATTAATCTTTTCAAAGAATCACCTATTGGTTTATCGATTTTTATATATCTTACATTTGTTCACTTTTTTATTTCTCTCATTTTCCTTCATTCTATCTTTAAGTTTAATTTTCTCTTCTTTTCCAATTTCTTGAGATAGGTATTTAAAGCACTGATTTCTTTCTTATCACTGTCTTTCTTTATTGATTGCTTTTTATTTAGAATATCGTCTTTCTTCTCTTCTAATACCTACATTTATGTCTCTAAGTTATTCTCTAAGCAAAGATTTGGCTATTTTCCGCAAAGTTTTTTTTTATCGTATTTTGGTTATCACTTAATCCACAATCCCTAATTTACATTGTGCTTTGTTTTTGATTCATGAGTTATTTAGAAGTAACTGTGTAATTTCAAAACACTTGGGGATTTTCCACTTATCTTCCTTTTTGTTATTAATCCACTGTGGTTTTATACATATATATACATATCCTGAAAGATTTCAATGCTTCATAATGTTTAAGGCCCCTTTTATGATCCAAATATAGTCAATTTTGGTAAATGCACAAATGCACTTGAAAAAAGAATATGAGTCCTGTCATTGTTGGTTGTTGTGTCTGTATATGCCAAAAATATTAAATTTGTTCATCATGTTTTTCCTATCTTCTATATCCTCACTGAATTTTTAATGATTTTTCCATCAATAACTGAAATATTACATGTTCACATCTACTAATATATTTGTGGTTTTACTTTTCCATTTGATTCTGTAAATATTTATTATTGTTATATTCAGTCAACATCCATCTAGATTTATTGTTTTTTTATTCCTTCATACAGCTTTAAGCTAATACCTGGGGTTATTTTCCTTCTGCGTGAAGATCTCTTTTTCATATTTCCCTCTGCCTGGTCTTCTGCTAATAATTATCTCCATCTCTCTTTGTTATAAAAATGCCTTTGTTTTTCAATGGTATTTCCAGCATGTATAAGTGCTAAATTGATTGCACTAATGACCTCCATTCTTCACTCCTCTTTATACTCATGCCTGTTGCTACATGACTTTGCAGCTCCTTCTATCAAAGGATAG